ATATATGTTGTCACTTATTATCATAATCTGTATTTTTGAGAAGGAAAATAAGCCTTAAAATCAATATCTACCTTCTCACCTAATTCAGTTGGTGTTATTCAGCAAATTGTATATGAAAATAACTGATAATTTAACCTAGCTCTATATACAGTGGTCTAGCAAAGTTTTGACCCTTGTCCCTTTGAAGCGAAACAAATAAGATATTTGGATTTTTTCACAAATATGAAAACCTGTAGAACAAATGGAAGTAGGTCATTCGCTGAAGGCTATCATGGGCTGACTACAAATATATTGAAATTTCGTTAGCAGAATGTGGAATCGCTTGCAAGTTAACAGTACAGTTCGTCTGAATAATGAGATACCCGTTCCGGGGATGATTCAGGTGGCTGCAGCCGCAACTGGAAGCCGTAGCACTGTGTAGACGGTTAGAAACAGACTTCATAAAGCCGGCATGTACATGCCAAGCGTTTAATGAGATATCTTCCTCTCACAGCAAAGCACAGAATAGCCCATCTGCAATGGCGCAGTGAAGGTTTCAGTGTACCAACGAAACATACATCAATAATGTTTTTATATAGATGATCTGTGCTTTACCCTTCTGCCAAATAATCGTATGCAAATTTGGAGAAAACCTGGAAATAGATCCAACCATTTTTCTTTGAGAATGTGACACTTGGTTGGAAGTATGGTGTTGGCGAGAGTGAGCATGAATGTACACAACTACCTCTACATTCTGTAGAATAGTACCATTAAAGCAATACATAATAGGAATCACGCCCTATAACCTTTTGTGATGATTGGCGCAATTCGCCCTAACTTCAATCTAACCAAACGGGGTGGGATACAGGACTTCAATTTCACTGACCACATATTAGATGCTTTTATCACGTCCCATTGAGTGACTTTTAAAATAGCTCTCTCAGGCGAATGATCAAGACTCTTATTAACACATAATGTCAAACATTCAACATCAGTTTTCCTTTGTTGTTCTTGATGATCATGCTTCATATTAAAGTGAAACGTCAAGAACCGTAAAGATGTAAAACCACATTTACCGAATGGTCATTTACGAGGTACGCTAAATGACAGATCACTTACTTTTCAGGTCGCATGACTCATCATCAATATTCGATTTACATAAACATTAAATAAGGGGAGTGATTGCTATTATTTTATAACAATAGTTTTGCCTTGTCGTAGTTGAAATATCTAATAATATAAAGTATAATTATATGTTGTCATAAATACAATTCATAACAGTAAACATATGTTTACTTAAAACCAGAATTGAAAAGGAAAAGATAAACACTGAGCCATTGAATTTTTCGCAAAATAAGAAATTGCGGGAATTGTTCTAACTTTTCAAACATAGATAAGAATTGGAAAACAGTTATTAAAGGCTTTTTTTTCCATCACACAAACAATTATTAAAGGCTTCACTACTAGCATCTGTGTCGTCTAATAAGTTAATCTAATCACTATAAGTTTATTTTTTAATTTGATAAAATAAAGTTTATAGTTTCTTTGTTTCAGGTTTTCACCCAAAGATACATAAGGGTTATCTGCTCATAATGGTCCCTAATTTTGAACCGATAAATTAAAAGACAAGCATTATTCAAAAGCTTTGTTTGTTTGCAATTAAGCACAAAGCTACACAATGGGCTATCTGTGCTCTGCCCACTACGGGTATCGAAACCCGGATTCTAGCATTATAAGTCCGCAGACATATCGCTGTGCCACTGGGGGGGGGGGCTATTCCAAAGCATCCACCGTCAGCTCGTGGGCTCTTGTGGTCTGACAGAATAGTGGGATTTAATACTGTTATACTGTATAAATGGCATAAGAGTGCGGGGCGCATTTCTGTAATAACGAAAATCGAACTCATTTTAGAGAACTATTTTATGATGTTTGCAATGCTAAATCTTTATAAAAATGCGTTTTAAATAACACAGTTTATTTTAGTGATCATCTTCTGTAATCTACAACACGTTATCTCGGGTTTACTGAACAACATAATTTCACGTCACTTTCTGATTGAAATTAGTGCTTCAAGGACAGTTTTTTTTAACATTCAAATTAACAATTCTTTGAAAATTACATGGACTATAATTACCTACCCGATTTGTTGAGCATAAAAATTATTTTTACTTCTTTATAGCATATGTTGAAATATTTTTTACTTATGATAAACAAAAACAAAAGTAAAACCGCAGTTTATTTTGGACTGAATAATGTGATCGTTTAGTCTATTGGGTTCTTATGTAGTTCTCTGTGCTGAAAGGAAGAACACGGACAAGAATTATAATTCCTAAAATAAATGAGGAACTTTATATCTACACATTTTCACGCTTATCATTGATATTAATCGTGAAATATATCACCGAACGACGTAGTATGTGATCAAACATAATTAAAACTGTTTTTATTAAATTTTCAAGTGATCGCTCGAAAAAAAGACACGTATACTAACAGCAGGTTGAATGTCCGACTGTGGAAATAAATCCTCAGGTAAGCAAGCGGTTTACTCTTCTTTTAAATAACAAATATCTGAAAAAGTCTTGTAAACAAAATTCCCGTTCTATAAAAGGTCCACAATTTCCGACAAATGAATAAATAAATAAAGATGTCAAATGTATAGAAATTTCAACGTTAAGAAATATAAAATTTAAAATGCTGATTAACAAACTGCAATGAATGTATTTGAGGAAAAAGTTTCTGTAAAAAACAACCCGAAAGACAAAATTGTTGTTGTTTTCTTAGTGAAGGGTTACAAAATGGATAGAATATCTGCACTCTGTTTACCACAGAGAATCGAAACCCGATTGTGCTCTAAAACGTAATGCATCCAAATAACTAATTCAGAAGAACTGTACGTATTTAAGATTTACCTTTCTCAATTGTGAGGAAGATCGTCAGATTACTCTTGTAAGGCATATTGTAAAAACGATCGTCAGATTAATCTTGTAAGGCATATTGTAAAAAAGATCGTCAGATTACTCTTGTAAGGCATATTGTAAAAACGATCGTCAGATTACTCTTGTAAGGCATATTGTAAAAAAGATCGTCAGCTTGCTCTTGTAAGGCATATTGTAAAAACGATTGTCAGATTACTCTTGTAAGGCATATTGTAAAAAAGATCGTCATATTACTCTTGTAAGGCATATTGTAAAAGAACAGAAAGAGAATTCATGAAACGAGTTGTATAACTGTATTTAACGAATTTTTTAATGATATTAAAGTAATCGTTCTAACTGACAAAATGTTCCTTCAGTTTCGTTTATTGCAGAATTTACAACCTGAGCAGGAGCTAAAGAATTTACTCGGTTATAAAAAAGCTATCACTTTAAAGTTAGCAAGCCCAATTGTTTTTGCACAAAGGTGCAAATAAGTTTATGTGCCGAAACTCTTCACTATAGATCATTAAGCCTCAAACACTTGACGTCCAAGAAATATGAACAATGTTTGTGTGCACTCGACTTTATAGCTTATACCACGTTTAACTTTAAATTTATAAAGCCACAAGCTTTTTTATACATGAATCCCTTCTGTAATATACGATGCTATTTATCTAGTAACTAACTATACAATCCCATATACACAGCACAATAGCCACGTGTAAAGAATAGCAAAAACCATTATAAATCACTAGAAATCCAGGATTAGACATCGTCCTATATTTGTCCCATAGTCAGCTAAGTTGCCTGGACAATAGGGGGCGCAAACTAAATCACATACCATTTCTTTAAAGCTCGGGCGAGGTACTTTTTATGAAATTCACTCAGCGTGAGCTGGCCTAATGATAAATTATGACTGGATTTTCAGAGGAATTAAAATACGTGACAACTTTAAGGATATTGAATCACGAAACCTACATGTTTTACTAACGTACTAAACTTCTTAATAACTTCCTGAGTGAAACGTTGCTTCTGTATTTGTCATCCTTCTAAGTAGTACGCCACCTGCTGGCCACGTGTGACAAATACTTGATTTGTTTCCTTATGTGCAGTGAAGCGCCCCCTACTTAATCTGTTTAAATCAAAAACTAAAACCGTTTGAGTAGCAAACTCTTGAACAACTACAGATTGAATTACAGTGAGACAATCACATATATCCAAAGATTCGTGCTCTTGTGTTAGTATTTCTGGGGGGGGGGGTTATTTCAATCTTCTAAAGCCACCAATAACATTTATTTCCAGGTTCACAATGCAAGCTTTATGTATGTTCCAGAACTCGGTATTGTTAGTTATTTTCAACGAAATCTAATAAGTTCAAAGCTCAAAATAATAATTATAATAAATAGTACTTTTTCCTTTTGGAAGCTTAACACCAAAATACAGTTCAATCCTTGTATAATAAAAAAAAAACTTTTTCGTATTGCCATTTTGCAAATGAAATGCTCAGTACACAAAATTGAACAAAGGAAGGTGCGAAGTAATTTCACAGAGAGAATATACAATTCGTTATTGGCCAAATTCAGCTCTCTTGATACAAAAACATCCGCACCATAAACAATGCTTAAGCGCGACAGTTGCCTGGGTGACGGACGCGCGAAATCCTATTGGTTACATTAAGCAGCTGGAGGTTATCACAGGCATCCGTTGCACGAGCAGAAACTCTGTGTACTTCTTACCACGAGAGATTCACATGGTGGGTGAAAGTTGCCCTAGACTGGTAAGACTAATTTGCTTCAATTCCATCCTGTGAACTTTGATACTGGAAGTTTCGATTTACCGGATTCAAAACCAGAGTTCCGTTTTTGATTTTTTTTTTTTACCTGTCTCGTTTACTTTCAAGAAGGAGAGAAATGTCTGTGGTTGTTTAAAACTTTAGACAAGAACAAGATTAAGAAGTTTAGAAGATTCCCGCGTTTTATTATTGTTATCATTTATTTTGTTTCGTAGCGCTTATATTTTGATAAACTAATTAATATCTTTAAGATTTCAATTTACTAAGCAGAAAAAGAGTTTGGCTGGGATTTTAACTGATGTACATTGATGTAAAGTACAGACTGCAAAAGTCATACAATTATTTACTGCTTAGTAATGCAGACATCCGAAAGGAGATAACACAAGTTTTAGATACAGAAAGTTCTCGACACCAAAGTCTTCCCCTCCTCTTTCTCTCCACCAACAATGACTCCTACTGACAAGGCAAGGCAAATAAACCTGTTGGTGTTTATATTCTGCTTATATCCGATGTCCGATGTTCACGCAACGTGGTGGTAAGTATCTTGTGCATTTATCTAATTTAGAAAACGTTTTAATGTAACTTTATAATTACGCAGACGTAACGCACTACGCTTTGCAGACTCATATTTATTTATTTTACTTGTCGGAGTTCAAAAGAACCTATTGTTTCTGTCTAATTGCTGTTTAAATGAGTACAATACTGTTGTTTAGTCCGTGTTCTATAAATCTAGTAGGTGCTGTTTGCTGTAGGTTATTTTTACAAATCAACACTTCATTTCTGATAACCCTACTTGTTCGCCAGCATAATTCGAGTCTGTTTGTTTGTTTGAAGTTAAGCACAAAGCTACACATTGGGCTATCTGTGCTGTGCCCA